CTTCAAATTGGCAAAAGTGCTTTTTGAATGTGGACAATAAATATTAATTAAGATTTACCTGAAAGTGAATGAACAGTATTAGCAGTACATACATGTATGTAATACAACTCTTGTGTTTTTGCACTGTCAAGCTGATAAAAGGTGACCGACTCAGCCGGTCTTGCCCATTTAAAGAACCGTCCCTGCTCCCAACTACCTGTCATCTATCTCTTTGAACGTAGCTGATTACTTGACTAAATCTAATCTTGCATCCAACAGAGGCCTATCCAGTGTTCTACAGCATTCATGAGTGTTGCACATATATCACAGTCCTAACTAAACATTATGTACGTCATGTGGTAACTCAAACACTAGTCAGAAACCTTCTCTCAAAGATGCATTTTGAGTGGCCAACCAAAAGACATTTTAGTCCCCCCCAACATATCACCCCACCAGTCCTAGACCTCAAGTGTCTGAAAAATTGGACGTAAAAAGTAAAAACACTGTCCATTACTCTCTTTGTTCTCCAAGACGGGCAGTCTGTCTAGGCTTGTCTTTAAGCAAGCTGTGCAGGTTGTAGCAAAAATTTACTCTTGTCAAGCTTTGCCTGTCAGTGTGTTTCGCGGATCAAAGCGGGCGTAAAAAAAAAGAAGTGGCTGTGCATTTGCAAGTCTAAATTATCTAAGTTAAAAACCCATCGTGTGATGAAAGCGTGCGTTTGAGTGGAGTGTGCTTTTGTATGGCCTGCGTTTAGGCAGAGACTAATGACTGACCTTATTGTGTTGCAAGTGCTGTAAAACTTTTAGGCTACTACAGCTAAAACATTTTAAAGTTGTTGGCCAATGGCGAATGCATGGCCGTTAAAAGGAACAAATATAATGTTCATGTACAGATAGGTGTTCCGTTTCGTGCACCGGCTGGTGGAATGACAGAAGCAGTACTACTACTGTTTTAGGGGTTGAGCTCTGAGACTATAGACTTACTACTATACTAGTCTAGATACTCTTTATAAATTAAGACATCTTACAACATCTTACCATAGGTGAAGAGATCAAACAAGTCCAACAGTATAAATACCTGGATATAATATATATAATAACATCTGACGCCAAATATTCCACAAAAATAAAATGGAGAATTACAATGGCTGAGCCCAGGTTAGTTTCAATATGAGCCCAATCCTGAAAAATAGAAACATCTTAATGACTACCAAAATGAAAGTTCTGAAATGCTATGTATGGTCAACCCTTCTATGACTGTGAATGCTGAACAATCACTAAAGACAGTGAAAAAAAAATAGAAGCAACAGTACAAAAAAATGGTTTCTTATAGGATACTGCTGAGAATATTGTGGAAGGAAAAGAAATTATACGAGGTAGTGCTTGATGAAGCCCACGTGAGACATTCAGTGTACAAACAATCAGGAAACGACAAAAGCAGTTTTTGGGACAAGGGACATCTGAACAGACATATAGGCCTAAAGGTCTTGAACATCAGGCTCTCAGGCACTGAAAAAATTGAAGGCAAACGAGGCAGGGGTAGGCAGGGTTGGGTTGATTTAAATCAGTTGATTTTTTTTATTTAAATCAACTTGATTTTTAAAATAAAAATCAGTGATTTAAATCACTTTTAAAATTTTTTATTTTTATTCAGTTTTTACATATTTCAACATTCAGAATTCCTTTCTTAGGTTTCATAAAACAGATATAAGGTTTAGTACACTAATATAATCATGCTTAAAAGTCTGCTTTCCCCCCTTTCACTGTAAAATAATACAGTATTCAATTTACTTTTTTTCCCATAATTGAAATCAGAGCTGGGTTAATTTAAATCAGTTGATTTTTTTTATTTTAATCAACTTGATTTTGTGATTTAAATCACTTTTTTTAAAATGTATTCTGTTTTTACATATTTAAACATTCAGAATTCCTTTCCTTGGTTTTATTTAACAGATATAAGGTTTAGTAGACTAATATAATCATGCTTAAAAGTCTGCTTTCCCCCCTGTCACTGTAAAATAATACAGTATTCAATTTTCTTTCTTTTCATAATTGAAAACCAGGGTTGGGTTGATTTAAATCAACTTGATTTTAAAAGTAAACCTCAGTGATTTAAATCACTTTTAAAAAATGTATTGTTTTTACGTCTTTAAACATTCAGAATTCCTTTCCTTGGTTTTATAAAACAGATATAAGGTTTAGTAGACTAATATAATCATGCTTAAAAGTCTGCTTTCCCCCCTGTCACTGTAAAATAATACAGTATTCAATTTTCTTTCTTTTCATAATTGAAAACCAGGGTTGGGTTGATTTAAATCAACTTGATTTTAAAAGTAAACCTCAGTGATTTAAATCACTTTTAAAAAATGTATTGTTTTTACGTCTTTAAACATTCAGAATTCCTTTCCTTGGTTTTATAAAACAGATATAAGGTTTAGTAGACTAATATAATCATGCTTAAAAGTCTGCTTTTCCCCCTGTCACTGTAAGTAGTAAATTAATACAGTATTCAATTTACTTTTTTTTCATAATTGAAATTAGCATTTTCTTTTTCTTTTTAGACAAACACAACCGTGCACACACACACACGCACACTGTAATAAAATACAAGTTTATCTATGCATAATTACCCCCTCCCCCCTTTCCTTTTAGACTGACATTTTCTTCATTTTTTGTCTGTAGCCATAATTCACTGATAATAGCAGATTTAGGCTTTCTTTTGCAGTTGCTTTTATATTAATCATTAGTTAAAATAAAGACAATGCATTCTGCACTAAAAGAACATACTTTTAGCCACCAAAAATCCCAAACTGTGTCGACATTTTTAAAAAAATCAAAAAAATACGATTTAAATTAAAAAATCTGATTTAAATAAAAAAAATCGATTTTTTAAATTTTTATTTAAAAAATCAAAAAAATCACCAACCCTGGGGGTAGGCCCAGAGTGACCTAGATTCTACTTAGGAAACCTAAGCAAATGGGTAACGGGGAAAGATCAGAGAGACGTAGCTTTTCTAAGAGCATCCGAGGAAAGAAATGAGTTAACTCTATTCCTACAAGGCCAAATTTTAATCCACCACACTGGCCCAGGTCTTTTCCCTGACCTATTTTTACACCCTACCCCACCAAAAGAAAATGTCCAAACATCCAACTAAACCCACACAATCACAAACCATATCATATGGCCATTCAAAACGAAGGTTAAAAAATTATCTATCAGATTGTGATACAATATTGAAGATTTATTCCAATTATATTAGTTTTGGTTTTCTAAAAGTGATTATGCAATATCGAAGGTGTCATATGAAATCAACAATTTTCCAGCTTTGAAAGGTCATATCTAAAAAAGTACAACAACAGCAACACTCAAACTTCCCAGGTAGTTTGCCTCAAGTAATGCAAAGAAATGCTGAAACTTATTATGTGCACTTATAATAGAAGTGAAAATAAGAGTCATATATATATACTGAAATCGAGCGCTTTTCTTCTCATTTTTTCGTTTCGAAGGGGACAAAAAAAGCGCTAAAACGACTAAAAATCGCGGTAGGGAAAGTGTTTTTTTTTAAAGAGAACCATGAGATCGCCGATGTCTGTCGCAGATCAGGCGGCATATGTGGATGATGATGATGACCACAGGCACAGTTAGACTGACGAGGTCTGTCTCAGAATTAAGTTTCCCTCCTCCATAAAATCAAAAGTGAGCAATCAGCAGCCACTAAATTTTGTGACGTCATGACATCATGTCTAAGAAATCTCAAAGCCAAATTGCAAGTGCATTGGTGTATGGGTCATAGAGCTGTGACGTGTCAAGTGACGTGTTCTTGTGCACTTTGACCAAGGTAAATTCGAGGAAAATGGCTGAGCAAAACATTATGGTGCAACTTTCTTATGCTACGATGTCTGAGTTGTGATCGAATTTTCAACTCTTCTCAGCAAGTTTGCAGTTGAAACCTATGTGGATTTATGCAAAGTGACAGGGAATAATGCCCCATCATTTCAAACAGTAAGGAAATGGATCAGGGAGGTTGAAGGTGGGAGGTCTGACACGAAAGATGAAGCGCACACAGAAAACATGAGGACAGAAAGGTGATGCACAACGTTTAATTCGACATTAGTGGCATCATACTGAGCCAGCTAGTCACACCTGGTGTAACTGTCAATAGTGACTACTACAGGTTTGTCCTCAAAGACAAGCTGAGACTTGCAATCTGGAAAAAAGACCCACTTTGCTTGAAGACGGCGTCATCCTGCATCATGACAATACATGCCTAACATTCACAAGTCCAGGAGTTGTGACGAGCTTCTTGAGGGCTACTCGTGGGCATTAATGGAACACCCGCCCTATTCGCCCGATCTCGCTCCATGCAACTTTCACCTCTTCCCCAAGGTGAAAGAAATGCTGCGAGGAGGGCGAACCAGATTCAA